CCACGTTTAAGCACCTTTGCTGAGCCGAGGCCCTCATCACCTCGGGTTCCTCAGGCTATCACACGATAAGCAATGTAAATTTTACCTTGCTTGGATGATGCTGGAATAAGCTAATTAAATTAATAGTCGCAAAGTGCCATCTACCTCTCTTCAAACTATGGATGTGCTTCAGCGGGGAAATTCCTGCCAATGAGCAGGTGGAGCAGCTGTCATCCAGAGGAATAAAGGATTAAAGCAATTCTCCACTTACAAGGCTGCATGCGCCAGCTGCATGCCAGAGGGGGCTGCACAAGCACGGGGGCCTATGAAGGGACTGGCAGTACTGTGCAGGACTTCAGTACTGGGATGCAGTATTTATCAGGCAGGTCTGCAGGCTTAATTAATCAGCCTAATTGTTGTTAAAGTGATTATCTTTTAGCCCTCTCACTGCACTTCGAGTTATATGTGTTGCAGCTGGCACTGTGCTCTGAGATTAATATCCTGACTGTGGTTTTCCAAGAGCCCGGGGTGTCGGAGGAGTTCCCTGCCCTGCTCTCGCTTGCAGTCATCAAGTTTGTAACTCCTTTGAATATAGTTGGATGTTCCAGCCAAAGTCCTCAGGAGCAAGCACAGTATTTTGCCACATGTTTATATTTCATGCACTGAAGGCCCTGGCAATTTTCCCCATTGCAGTTGATCCAAACCCACGCTTTTTAAAGAACAGAGTAGCCCTATTTTTCTTCCACATGCAAGTAAAGGAAAACCTACTTTAAGAAGTCAGAGATATCCAGCATTTCTGCCATGCTTTCTATCCACAGGGGTGCAAGGGGGATGTGATGGCTGCTCGTCTGCAGCTGCCCCAAGCAGCAAACCTGTAAGACCTGGGCTGTGGCTGGTGTGTGGCAGCAGTGACTGGAGGGCATGGAGCCACCAGCCCTGTCTCAGGCTGTGCCTCTGCTCCTCGGGGACCTGCAGTTATATATGTGGTCATGTGTGCCTGTGGTTTTTAAAACAAATGTGCAGATTATATTTATTATTCAGCAGTGGCCAGATGGCCAGGAAGCGGAGTGTGCCGCTTCCAGAGGGCCCTGCACTGAGCGGTATTTCATAAAGAATTAGAAGTCCCTGCGGCGACATGAAGTGTGTCGCATTTAATTCTGGGCGTAGCTGCTGACCTGGCTTGAACTCCATTAGGGAGCATAAAACAAATTAAGTACAGTGCCGAACTCGGAGGCCAAGGTCCGCTGAATCACGGAGCGTCTCAGACAGCAGACAGACAAGCCTGGAGCCTGGCGTTATTTGTTTCAGGGAGAGCTGGGGGAGAAAGTGATAGCGTCAGGAGAGGAGACACACAGGGAATTTAAGAACTGGAGGGAAGTGAAATGAGAAGATGATGGAGCTCCCTTGGTCACCAGTTCTATGACTTGCCTCCTCTGCTTGGCTCCATGCCCTGAGCCATGCCCCCCTGCCCTGCACAGCCAGAAAAAAAAAAAAAAAAAAAAGAGAGAGAGAGAGAGAGAGAGAAAACTCCTTTGCTCCTCCTTAAAAGCTGCCTCTGGTACGACATCTGCAAAATGCTGACAGCTTTTTCTCCTTTGGCTCTTGGTTTTTGATATCACAGCTTTGCCAATGCCAAATATACTTAGAGAAGCCTCTGCCACACCAACACACCTAGCCCAACAAATGAAGCCTGCAAGGCAGTTTTTACAGAGCTATTTGTGGATATACCTATAACATCTACAGCCTGTTGGTCGCTTTATAGGGGGCAGGAACTGCACTTCTTTTGTGTTTAGGAAGCTACTCATACCATGCACTCCCAGGTCAGAGCTGCTGGTGTGAGGTCCTGCTACATAGTAGGTAAGTAAATTAGCAAATAAAATGCTTTGCTCAACTTTGGTGCCTTCCATTCTTTCGATACAGAGGAAATTTTGAGGATTGTAATTTCTGGTGATTAAACTCTGTATATAATATGAAATGTTTTAGTCTAGGTAGAAAACCCTAGAAAAAAAATAGGATATAATGTCTTAAATGTCTTCAATTTTTTTTATCTTTTTAATAAAAATAAAATACATTTCCCTAAGCTAAAATGGAATAAAGTGCAGTGATATTCAGGATAGAATGGAGTTATTTTCATCTAGAAATTGACATCAAATGACCTTAACAATGCAGTTCCAGACACCTAATTAAAAGTAAAATTAAAAACAAGGAACATGCAGATCTAATTACATTTTTAAATGGAAAGACATTGAGAGGAAGGGAGAGAATAAATGATTTACAATTTTTTCTGGTGATGACTCTGCAGTTAAAGCAGAGACATCCCCTGAGGATTCCTGAATCACTTAATGTTCTGCTTTTTTCTTAGGCTGCTTCCTATTATGTTTTCTTCATAGAGGGGTGTGTGTGTAACAGCAAAGAGGAGAGTAGATCCTGGACAAAACATCAAGGAAGAAAATTAAATGATCCGTGCAACTCCCAAATGACTTCCTATAAGAAAGAAACCACATTATCTTCGGAAAACCAGGACAGACATTGCTTCAACATCCTCATACAGCCCCATTTGAATAGCTATAAAGATGAAAAGTGCTTATCTCCTCTCTTTAGGAAGGGGACATGACCATTCTAGAACAGTTAAATGCTGGAGTGTGGGGGTTTGATAAGGTGAACATCAGGACCAGGGTATCCTGACAGTTACTAGAACAGCTGATAAGGGAGTAGTACCGAACAGAGATTTGGTTAAAACAAGAAGTATTCTTATCAAGGGCTGAACCTGGCTGGCCTGGATGAAATGCAGCATCTGCTCCTGCTGATGCTCCCTGAACCAGGGGTAAGAAGAAAAGACTCTGAAATCAGAGTGGCCCCACTGGGACATGAAAGCAGGCAGACGGGAAACCTTGCTCCAGGTGCTTTGGGTTCCAGAGACAGATCTAACCCAGACACTGCTGGTCCATGGCTCTGGCTCAGCTGGAGTTAGATTTCTGCCTCCTCACACCATCCGGGGTCAGAGTCCTGAGCACGGGATGTTTTCTTCTTAGAAAGGCTGCTCCAGGGTCTGTTCAGCACTGTCAGGCTGCCACCTCTGCTCATGTTTGTCACCTTCAGGGTCAGAGTTCTTTTGAGGGACTATCTGACTACCTTTGCTGGACACTTTTTTCTGCAGGAAAAATGGGAGCAGAAGGATTATGGCCGACTGGAAAAAGAACCATGTTGCTTCTGCTCATCTTTGTACATGTGATATATTCTGGAGAATGATCTACAAACTCTGTCTCTGTTTTGCCAGCATCAAAAGGTGTGCGTGAGAAACTGATGGGAAAGAGATGGACTCTGAGTTTCTTACTGTAAACCCCACCTTTGAATTCCTAACCTCATCGCCACTCCAGGACATCCTCTTTCCAGTTGCTGCTGTATCCATCACATATTAATGTCCAAAGCAGAACCACAGTAGGAGAGCCTGTGATATCCACCTGCCGACAGCAAGAAAACAAGAGGGATCCCATTCCCACTGAATTTGCCAGAGTAAAGTTCTCCCTCAGTGCTTCCTGAGTTACCCTATGCCGTAAACAGCCTTGTTTCATTTGGCTTAGTTATTTATGACTTAATTCTGGGTTGCCAAGGAATGTCTGACTGATGAATACTGCAAGCAGAAGGATATTTTTATCCTGAGAGCACATGCAAACCGCTTCCCTGCTTGGCGCCATATTTCTCTGGAGCAGGAAGGACGTGTAGCATCGCATTCATTTTACACTTGCTGGTAAAAGGGGGAACCTGGTGGTTCCTATGGATAGATGCAGGCCCTCACCACCCCAGTCCCTGCAACTAGATGCTTGCTGGAGGTGTCTGCTCACCTGCAGAGCAGAGCAGTCTACACACAGCCAAAAGCAGCACACAAGTGAAGGCAAGGGGGCATGCAGGGAGGCACTGGGAAATGAAAATCCAACTTCTCCTCCTCCTGGCAAGGACTGAGCAGAAATCTAACTGTCATTGGTAGCCTCATTCATTATATAGAATAAATATCTGCAATCCTGCTCTGCCTGGGTGAAAGCTTCCCATTGCTCTGTGTGTGCACATGCGTGTAACAGGTGAAAGACAGCTGCACTGCAAAAGGGCTGCCCAAAGCGCCGAGCACAGCCTGAGCTGCCTGCTGGCCCCGCACCACGGGGCTGGCCCCAGCCATTCATCAGCAGCAGCAGGTTGGCAGACAGCAGATAAATCTCCCGGTGCACGTGTCCGCAAATAATGAACGCTTCCTTCATGCACTGCCTTTGCTGTGTAATCATCTATTAGCACTAATTGCCAGAGCCCAGAGCTGAAGTGGCCTTTCACATTAAATAATATGATAAATAATATAAAAGATCTTCTAAAAGGGCAGCTGCGGGAGAAAGCTCCTCCCTGGCTTACCCCCGTGGAGCTGGGTGCAAGAGGGGCTTTGGACGGAGGGATGGAGGAGAGGGCCCCTGCAGAGCACTGATGTCCCTGCTGATCCTTCAGCACTCACCATATTGTGATGCCAGAGGTGTCTGAACCTGCAGGTCAGGGTTTTTCAGGTATTGAAGCATCTCCTGGGCTCTATGGGGACATACAAACCAGCAGTGTCTCCCCCAGGGAGTGTAACAGAGGTGAAGGATGGGAGCTCTCTACAAAGAGCTCTGCAGAACACCTCACTACAGGGCACGATGTGTTAAATGTTATCGTTCTGACGTGCTTTATGAGGCTCTGATGAGGTGGGAGGACCCTCATCCAGGATGTTTATCACTTACAGCCTAACTGCGGTAATGCCACTGAAACACTTCCAGATGCTAAGCGTGCTGAGGGGGCAGGTTTAGTGACTTGGGCTGTATTTTGGGAGCCACACATGACCAGGGCTTGTTTGAAGGATTCTGGCTCTCTCCCCATACCAGGTTGTCTGTGCCTCCTCTAAGTCCAGCAACCAAACTGACCTCAGAATTGCAACTCCTCCAGCTATCCTGTCCACAAGCCCTGCAGACACCACAGGTGACTGCAGTGTAGGTATCTATAACATGATGGGATAGCTTAGATCTTGCTCAGCAATAAAGATTAGAAGGAATGCAAACTGATCTGCAGGTGGCCAGAAGTGTCCCTGTGTTAAAAGGAAGGTGTTTCTGTAGGTGCAGCTCACAGCACTGGTCTGAGCTTCAGCTGAGACACGACATCCCAAGAACATTAAGGTCAGACCAAAATTAAACCGGAAAAGATCAAGATAGTGGAACTTCAATTAAGCCCAGATCCATAACCGGGAAGAGTTCCGTACTCTGAACAAAAATCTAATAAAAACCAGAAGTGATCCCTTTAAAATTGGAGACTTCATTTACTCAAGTGACAAAAAAGGTTGTAAAACAAGTCAGCATTACGTTCTAACATTGTAGGTTGCAAAAACAGAGAACCTCACCCCCATCGTGGGGGTGAGTGGGTGCAGGGAGTGCACAGGTGTGCTGCAATAGTATTTCAGTCCTGGGGTTTATGTCCTTCACCGGGATGAGAAATCTCAAGGCAGAATCAGCTTTGGGAGTCCTCCGTGACAGGCACGGCTGTATAACGGATGGTGGTGCCAGCAGGGATGGGTGTGATGCATAGCACAGGCCGGGGAACATCACCTTCCTGGTAATTTTAGACTGTGGCAGAAGAAAGATTTGAACTCACATCATTCTTTGGAGAGCAAAATTAATAGACCTGCGTCCAGTGCTCTCGCCCACCAAGCTTTGCTAAGGGCTGTGCTCTTCATTTCAGGTTTAAAAAGATAACACTGCAGGAAAAAGAAAACCATAAATTGGTGCTGCACCACTTTAAAGCAGACTGTTTTTAATCAAATTTGCATTCTGTGCTGTTGGAATAGAGACCCAGTTTCACAGAGACCTCAATTTCTAAGTTCTTGTCAATGTATGGATTGATTGTGTTTTGAAGAGCCAATCACTCATATCAGGCCCTCAAATGGACCTGAACTCCTGTTCTCATCCAGCCCCAAGCGGGGCTCATTTTCGCTCCATTCAGAACATATTCCTGCACCTTTCTCCTGTACAAACACTGCACGTGCTCCTCATCACCGCCTTTCAGTAGCGGGATTTGTTTGCAGACCTCTCCTCTGGAGTGGTTTCTGGGGACAGCCTCCCAGAGCCTGACCTTTGTCTCCCTCCCACAGTGTTCAAATGAGCACTGCCCCAGGAGGGACAGAGCAGAGGGCCCTGCCAGGTCCATCTCTTGTTCATTTTTTTTGTGTGCTTCATTTATTATTTTTTGGCTTTTGGGCCATATGGATAGAGAAAGGGTTATTACACACAGGACTGCTGCACTCACCTCCAGTTAAAAGCTCCAGAGCCAGCAATCTAGAAAGCCTGGAAGAGAGTAGCTTTTGCAATCGAGACATTGCGAAGCTGGCACAAAGCACTGACTTCGTCCTTGGACTCGTTCCTGATATGGAAACAAGTGCTGATTCTAATTTAAGATGTGCACAAAAGCCAATAGGAGCAGGAAAAGGAAAAACCCTGTCTAGATTTGTCTGAGGTGTCAGAATTCATCTTCATCCCTCCGATGGAGACATCCTTCAAGGCCCTGCCATGGGAGACATCTGCTGCTGTAAGGGATACTGTAGTCCTGCCAGCCCTCATGATTAAACCATGAGAGACTCAATTTATGCTTTTAATTTGACTTTTTCATGATTCCAATACTTTGTATGCAAATTGCTGTGTTCCTGCCTACCCTTCACCACCTTGTTAAAACCACTTGTCAGTGGTAGGGCTTTGCTGCATGCCAGGACTCCCAGCAGTCCTTCCCTGCATGTATTTACAGCTCTCCCTGGCTCGCTCTCAAGGCAGAGGTCAGATGCTTTCTTGCTTTGTCATTTTCCCTGAGCTAGAAGAGCCACTGCAATCATTTCGTTCTCATCTCCTGACCTACAGTAGCTCAGGTCAGAAGATTTTACCCACTGATTTTCCCCATGGAGTTCAGCAACGTGGTTAAACAAAGCCACAAAGTTCCTCCCCAGCAGGGACCCTTCCTAACCCAGCAGCACGCTGCCAGAAACTTTTCCCTCCAAGTGCAAGAGTTTATGCTAGGTGCCCTTGATACTGGCTTCCAAAAGTAGCAACAGTGAGGCCAGACCCAGGGCACCCTCCTCTCAGGGTGCATTTACCAGCAGGGCTTTGCCAGCTCAGCTGGATTTGCACAGCACTTGCACTGCTGCTCTCTTGGCACTGGAAAAGGCAAGCAAGGAGGCAGCACTTGGGAAAACATTCAAATACTCAAATACCACTGGTATCTGCAGATCCCCCATGTCATGCAAAGCCTAAGTGTTCACCTGCCAGCTGTGCTGTGCTGCCACATAGCCTCCATGCAGACCATAGCAGGACCCTCAGGTAGAGCCAGGAAAGGTCCCAACTCAGTGAGAGCTGTAAGGCTGCTGGAACAATTAACAGTTGCCTAATCAACATGACAAAAATACTAGAGATATGGAAAATGACTACACTCTTTTGCTCCTGGCTATTTAAGAGCTCCTCCTCTGCTTGCTGCTACCTTGATGTGTCATTAGAGATTAGAGTAAGTCTTCCTGAGCTGTGTTTGTGTCCTCCCCTTCCCTGTCGAGCATTTGATGGGGAAGGCAAAGTAATTTGCCAGAAAGATTTTTTTCCATTCTTGTCTGTGCCCACATTCTCAGAGAAGTTTGCAAACACTAAGCTGACCCACAGCAATAAGGTATGGATGAGAACTGGAGGGCTCTTGTCCCCAGGGTCACCCAGCCCTCCACAGACAGAAGGCTAAAAGGCACTGAAAGGGCTTTTATTGAGGCTCTGGAAAAGGCCAGTGCCTCTCTGCCCTGCACGAATTTCTCTCCACATTGTTTTCTTAACCCCCCAGAGCCCCTGCTGAGCTTCGCCTTGGCACTGTCCCCACAGGCCAGCTCCCAGTCACGCTGGTATCCCAGGAGCAGCAGCACCACAGCCGGCAGGGGCTGACCCGGAGGCAGGGACATGGGAGCAGATGGGGGACAGAGCCCAGGATAGGGGATGAGGACCCCATAAGTGGCAGTTAGGGGGAGATGCTGGCCAGAGAGGGCGCTTTGGGCAGCTGTGACCACATCCAGTAGGGCAAGTTATGTGCTTGTAATAATATATTGCAATAAAGCCCTGCCACTGCAGTGGACAAACTGCTATTTGACATCAAAGCATGAGGACAGGTGGCTGCAGTGGTCACCATTTATTTCTGCAGGGAAACAAGACGTTTTGGGCAGAAGTTAAACCACGTAAATAGTTACTGATGATTGCCTTTGATTCAGGAAATAACTGAAGAAGTAACAGAGGGGACATAAAGGGAGGCCCAGGGCTCCTGCCCTGAATACCTGGGTGCAGCAGAGCCCCTGTCAGGCAGCAAGAGCAGGATCCAGCTGCAGTTATGGTTACAATTTCTTGAGCTGTCAGGGAAATGTTTTGATTGCTTTTGCTGCATACGTCTGATCAAACAAGCCAGCAAGTGTGAGTGAAGGAATCGGAGGGTGGAATAAGTAAAACACCTGAGAAAGATGTAGTGAAAAGTGCCTAGAGGCAAGAGAGAGAAGGAAAGACTGGAAATAAGATGAGGACATAAGCTATCAGGATAGATCTACAGGATCAGTAATTGTTTTATCAAGAAAACACAAATGCAGTGGTATCAAAAATACAAAATAGAATTGAGCCTGATTAGTCTAAGTAGATGAACGGTAACAGACCAGTCAAAAGAGCATGTCTGTGTTTTTAGCCTAATTTCCAATGGATAGATAATTGCATTGTCTTACTGTAGGCTGTGTATGTACACTTATTCCAGCTCCCAGATCATTTATAACATTGAGAAACCAAGCTTGCCTTTCCCATTCCCCCCCAGATCCTAATAAGAGGGGTCCAGACAGGATGACAACTCTTTCATCTACCTTGTGTGATAAGAAGAGAGCTAAGGGCTAACAAAGGGACTCACTGAGGTGTGTTTTGCATCTCTCTACTCATACCTGGAACGTAATAGGCCACAAAGAATACACAGAAAACAGGCACAGAATTTGTATGCGTTCAAAAAACCACAGATCCTGGCCAATCGCTTTTATTTGTGGTTCAGGAGCAAGCACAGAGTGGTGATAAAACTGCAGTTCTTCAGAGAAGAACAGCGTCACACAGATGGCGCTTAGTGCCCCTGTATTCTGGCACAAAACATGCTGACTGGGAGACAAGTCTGTTGTGCTCTTCAGGTCTTTTAGACCAGACACAGGAGATTGTTCATTCCATTCATAACCATTCACAGCTTATCCGGAGTTTATGGAGCAAAAATAATTACAGTTGGGTGCCTGTCACTTCATTGGTTTTATGCAGTTTCATCAGATCCACTTTGCTGCCCTGTTTTATTTCTGCTTGTTCTGGGCGTCCTAGGAGTGCTACTCCCCACACCCCACCATGGCCAGGGTCCTCAGCTGGGAGCAGACCGTTTGGTCCATCAAGTCTGAGCATCTTTACAGAGATATCTGCCTCTGGATGACCCAAGCCACAGCATTCAGCTGTCTTCAGGCAGGGCTCTCCACCACTTTTATTGGTGTCACCCCCGTTTCATCTGATTTCAGTGAAATGGCCTGTCACATGTTGGCACAATTGTTTTAAACAGGCACTCAGGAAACATTGGAAACAACCAAGTGGCAAATATGAGGGTGACTCAAATAATGTCATAAAAAGAACAATGAAAAGTAACAAACAAGCTGCTTCTGTGCTATGGGGATGCCTCTTGTCCCTCACAGTTCTCCAATGCAAGTACCATGACCACAAGCGGGGGAGGTTTTCAGAACACTAGCAGCCTTCCTACTCAGTATCACTGGGAACAACAAAGTTTAAAATCCAGGTTTGCTCTTGCATGACAGTGCTTCACTGACTGCACCTCTGCTGTCAGACTCCCAGTTTTATGGGCTTTGGTTTAGAGATGTTTATCATATTTATATATATATAAACCTTTACCTCACAATTTAAAGACAAGGGTATTTTTCACAGCAGTCAGACTCCCATTTCTTATATTTTCACAAGAGTTGCAAGGAAGGAGAACTTCTAAATCACCAGGAAGCTCTGACAACGCAGCCCCTACTGTGCAAGATTGCTTTTAAAAAGCACTTACTTTTTATGGTCTAATTTAGGGCGACATTGAATGTTCTCAAGAATACTTTCCAGTTCCTCCAAGTGTTCTGCCCTGTTAAAATGTCTAGAAGTCCTTTCCTACATTAATTCCAAGCCAAATGTACTGTGTGCATCTTGGAACTGTACCAAATGGCCAAACCTTCAGTCATCATTCCTGGGATAAATTACCTCTCCATCAGGCTGGGTATTAAATGAATTCTGTAGAGACACGGGGACCAGGACTACTTTTATTTCATATACGTTAATGCTGCACTTACTGTTTGACCTTTAGCAGCTACAGGAAGAGTTGTTGTGGTGGGGAGCAGTGGGGAACTAAATTCTTTTAAGATCCCAAGCTCAGCCAACAAGGCACAGCGGTGTCAGTGGCAGGCAGCATTTTCAGCAGCACATTTAGACATAAGACACTGATACAGACTTTGGAGATACTCAGTGCAGAGATAAGCTTGTTTGTCAGGGCTGGAGGGGTCCTGGAAGCAGAACCATTCCTCGGTGCTTGGGCTCTTCTAAAAGGACCCGATATTACTGGAAGCTGCAGTGGATTCAGTGCAGCAGCTGGAAATTCAGCTCTTGTGGAAGCGAGGCCAGGTCTGCCCTGGGTTCTATCCATAATGGGAAATCCCCTGAACCTTTCAGTGGCCCTACAGTAAGCCTGCATAGAGCACAGGCTTGAGAGAGTGAATAGACAGCACTGTAGGAGGGCTGTGGAGCAGGTTTCCTCTCCTCGCCTTCTGTCCCCCGTAACACATGCACGCTGACAGTCTCAGCTTGGGTTGGTACCACGCTCGTGTTTGCAGGAGAAAGATTCCTCGCCCACCAGCCTGGCAGAGGTCCCTGCTCACCACCCAGGAGGTTCTGCAGCAACTGTCAGCCCCAAGGAGTGGGCTGGGAGCAGCTTTCCCTGCAGCAACCCTTCCCCACAGCACCCTGTCTGCACTGCTCTGTGGTAGTTTGCACCCGTTAAATCCCTCTTGTTCTTTCCCAGAGAATTTCTCTGCCTCTGATTTATTTCTCTAGCCATCTGCTTCGTAGTGGTGATGGATAGAGGATCTGGGAGCTGATAGCCACATTTACCCCCTGGCCAAGGCACTACCTCCTGAACACCTCTCCAGCATCATATTTCAGCCCTCATTGGACAAACTGACCCTACAGGCCAGCAGCAAGAAGATCCCAAGTCTGCTTGGGGTAAGAAGCCTTCCCATCATATTCCTAAACTTGTTTTTAACAATTCCTTTACTTTTCTGTGGGTTTCCTCCTAAATGATCATGCGTTGGGTAAGAAATGTAATCCTCCCCCCTTCTTCATACAGCACACAAATGCAGACCTGCTACTTAACAGAAAAAATAAAAGCTTCCCACCACCAAATAAAGTCTCCAGGCTGTCTTTACTTTTGAGTAAAGATTCATGGAGATCTTCAAGCAAGGCTTATGTTTAGGGTGCAAGGATACTTCTGACACTGCTATTTTATTTATTTTTTGATGGTGAAGAAACAGGAATTTATATTTGGGAAATAAAAAAGCTCCAAAGGTGCTTGAAAGCAGATCATTTTACAGCACTCATTCTTGGCTTGCTCCAGCTGTCTTAGAGGGAGCTTGAATAGAATCACTGAAGACCTGGATTCATTGCAAGTGGTGCAAGGAAGAGAAATGAGGAGCTCACCTTGTTACTCTAACACTAATTGTAAAATTGGAAGAGAGCTACTCATCTGATTCATAAAGTGCTTTGAAATCTATGACATACATCGGAGATGAGGCCTGTGACAACAGGATCCTTCACTACAGTTTGCAAAAAGAAGAAAAGTCAGATCCGGGGGCCAGTTAAATTGAGAGGTTTTGTGCAGCAGGAAAACACATTGGCTGAGAAAGCAAACTCCAACTCTTTTGTGAGGAAATCCCACGAGCTCTCCATAACACAAAAAGCAAAGGAAGAAAGAGCCTATAAATAAATCTATTTGACATCTTGAAGACAGGCACGGTTACACATCAGTCCCCAACCAGCAAGGCAAGGCAGGTGTCCTGGGGAGAGCCCAGGGACAGCAGCCCAGCCTGCCCTTCCCAGCAGCAGCTTATAGACACATCCTCGGTTAACCAGAGCAAGCATTTACAGAGCAGAAAGACAGCAAAGCTAAGACCATATCAATCACAAAATATTGAATCCTCACCAACAAAAAGCATCTCCTAAGGCTGACTAGGTTTCACAACTGATGGCAAGAGATGCCTCATGCTAAGCCATGCTTCCTTGTCTCTCCTACCAAGAGGAATAGTTAAAAGCAGTAATGCACGTTCCCACTGACAGTCATCTCAAGCATCTAAAAGCAAACAGTTCTCTCATGAGGTCAACCCACTGCCACATCTGAGCATCCCTGGTGATTTGCAGTCTCTTAAAAAACCCTCAAATATAAAAGAGATTTTCTCCTTACCTGATGCTTCTTGTTTCCCAGTGTCAAACCACTGCCACATCTGAGCATCCCTAGTGATTTACAGCCCTTTAAAAATAAAAAAGACTTTAGACTCAGAACAGATTTTCCCCTCACCTAATACTTGTTGTGCCCACCCACAGGTCACTTGGGTGGATCCAAGAATATAAAGTCCCCTGTAAGTTCTTCTGAGTGAGACATACTTATGACAACAGTTTTCCGCCTCGGTACAAACTCATCTGAACCTTCTCCCCTACTAATGTGGGATTTAAACAGCCTTCCATAACCCCTTCTATGAGGTACCTTGGCCACGAACACCACATGGAGTGCCTAAATGCAGAAGGCCTAGGTCACATCCTAAATAGCAATGATTTTAGGATCTCTTTCCTACCACGTTGCTACACTAAACAGGAGCTCACCAGCTGTTTAGGTAAAGGAAGCTCCTTTTCACCATCAGTAATAAGGAGAACCCAGCCACAATCATCCTCCAGCAAAAGGAGGAACAATAGAAAAATTGCAGATAGAAAAAAGTCAGCAAATACTGCAGATGCTTGTAGATGCCTAAGGGCCTCAGGCTTTGCTGTGTGGTCATTATAAGGGATTGGCTATAGAAGGGCATGCTGGAAGAAATCTTAATTTGGGAAACAACCAATAACGAGGCAAATTAACAGAGCCTGGGAGAGGGTACGGTAGGGTGATTGGAAATATTGCTGATATTGAACTTGGCTTGCTTGTGCTGGGGCCGTGATGGCAAGGAATGAAAACTGCAGCAGGCTTTAATTGTATCTGTAATCAGGAGGAGCCTGTGCTACTGGGCTGAACCTTGGCATACTGGGTTGCCAGGTGTGTCTGTTCCTGCCCTAGTGAGACAGCGAGCTTGATGAGATGGCTCTGTGGGCTCTGTTTGCTGTGCACAAGTTCTGTCATCTCCTGGAGCTGCCTCACCAACTTACGGAGAAGCGAGAAGCGGCAGCAGGTGGCTTTCTGCCAGCCTTGTTCCCTGACTCAGGCTGCTGGCAGGGGGCCACCTCCAGCTCCTGTCTTTGGTACAGAACGTGTGCAGGGAGTGAGGCACAAGTACCCAGGGGGGGATGAACGAAGTGTGAGTGGGGATGTGGGGGTGAGCATTTCAAGAATGATAAGCAAGGACGCTGCTTCCATTCAGTCAAAAACGCCCAAGAGATCTGTCCCCTGCTGTGGCAGCAGTACAGGTGACTGCCAGCAGCAGACTCTGCACTCTGACAGTAAGAGGAAGGCAATCACATCACTAATACTGATGCTTTTTTATGGTAGCCCAATCTGAGAGACTAGAGAAAAAGGACATAAAACTCACCCAAAAATTATACTGTTATCAGACAAGAGAAACCCAGGAGAAACAGCGTGGACCAAGCAGCCTGCATCTCATGCTTGGTGCTGCACATGGGTGCTCCTGCCTGGGCCTCTTCGATACTCAGATTTTGCTTTGAAAGCATGGAGGTGTGAATGCAAGTGGGTCAACATGCTCAGAAATATTTCTTAATAAAAAATTAATTCTTCCCTTTCATAAGATCTCACACTGAGCTTTGTTACACAATTTTCCAGCATACAGAAGCCCACTGCTGGCACGTTCCCCCTCTTTGCTCTGCTTTGGGAGCAGAGGCAGAAGACTGCAGTGAGGCAGAACTGTGAACCAAAGGCAATCCATCACGCAGGCAGGGGCACCTTCAGGAATTTCGGGCACGGTGGTGAGCCACTGCCCTCGGTGGAGGTACTGCCTGCCCTTCTGGGTGCCAAAGAGTATGGAGCAGCATCTAACAATGGCTGCTTCTGCTCCAGGAGCTGCTTTTAGTTATTTTTAGGTGTCGGGCAAACAGACACTCAGGGAAGTTCCTGGCATCTAAGAGGGCTCAGCTGTGGAGGAAAAAAGCAACCTCTAGTTAAGCAGGGCAGCCTGCTGTTATCAGAGCACCTTGGTTAAAGAGACCCCAAGGGGATAAAGGGGGGAATTCAATACAAATGGAAAGGTTCTAATACCAGGGGAAGGAACAAAAGTGGAAAAAATTGGACTAACTAGAAAACCTCCCAGTGACTTGAGGGAAAGCAAGAGTCTCTAGCCAAGTTAGTTTTAGGGAAGCAAGTGGAAATATTTATTAGCTGGGAGCCGTACTGAGCCCAGAAGGAGAAGTTGATAGAAAAGTGGTTCTCCTTCTCAGAAGGAGAGAGGTGGAATTTGCTCCCATTATTCACACTCCCGTAGCACTACTGACATTATTTCCTGGTGCTCACTTCCTGCACGCACTATTGCTCTCCTCCAGAACACCCAAGCTCCTGGTGGCTGCTCAGGGCTGCCCAGTACTGTTCCTGCTAGGAAGGTTCCTCTCTCCTAACATGCAGCTGCAACATGATGAGCTGGGCTGGGAGCAGAGGCTGCACCCCACAGGGGGGCTGATGGTTGCTTGGTGGCCTGATCGCCACCAGGTTTCCGGTGCTAACACGACCTGCACAAACTTACAGACTGTCCTGGAAGCTTCCTTACCTTGTAACGAAAAGGAGAAAGCCTTGCCAGAGATAAATAGTCTCTTCCTTGTTCCACAGAGAACTAATCAATCCCAGTAGCAAAGACTCTGTGCAGCCCTACAGCAGCACACCATCAGTGCCAGGTGCTCAACGGTGAAGGGAAAGGGGAAGTGAGGGGGAACCTGAAGTCATTTTTCTTTGAAGAGACTTTTATAAACTGTAGTTAGAAATAATGGTTTGAAAATGCAGGAAGAGTCCCTAGCTAGCGCCCCGGTGAACCTGTAGTGATGCTTTGCCTCTAAAGCATTTAGAAATGTATGGAGAGAGTTATTCAAATGAATAAATAATAGCTCTCAGACTGTTTTGCCTGAAGACCTGCATATACTTTGCATAAGCCCTTGCATTCACAGCCTGGTGTTCCAAGCCCCTCCTCGGCGAGCAAGGAGGGAAGAGCAGGAGAGAAAGGACTCATTATCAGAACTCCGAGCCAGAAGTCCATATGGGAGCTGAAGCTAAGGAACGGGGGGGATTTGGCTTACAGTTCAGTCTGCATGAAGGGTGCATCTGTTTTTGTCTTGAAGGTATACCTTGACTTCACCTGCCAACTGCATGCATCTCAAGCTAAACGAGAGCTTCCCCTTATTAAAGCACTATGTATCCTAGTTTTCAGTCCAAATAAGGCTTCACACAGGGAAACAGACATCTGCTGAGCATTTGCACATGTGTTAAAAAGGGAACACAGCACTTTTCTGCCCTCCAAAAGCGAATTCAGTACCGTTGGAGGGTAAAGAGCACAGTGGAATGGGAGGGAAGCAGCAATACTGTGCAGATAAGCAGGGATATACATGGTTGCAATTAATACTCTTGCAGCTGGGAAAGAACCTGCACCTTTCTAGCAATTACAGCAATAAGTCATCTTAAGAAGGGAGGCTGCAAGAACTCTGTCCTTTCCAGCACTGAAAAAACCCTGCTTCAGCTCAACCTTGTGCAGAGCTCTTCAAGACACAAAATCCCTTTGTGTTGTGCAGAAGATCAGGGGGCATGGTCACCAAGTCCCTCCAGCATTTAAGATGTTTCTCTCCCGATTTGCAGAATGTTTTGTTTGTTTCTTTATCTAGTTGAAGGTGAAGAAAAATGGTTATTCACCGTCAGTTACACAGAGGCTGGAACTTTCCCCTCCTGTTTTCTCCTGCACTTACAGCAACAGCACGTGGCAGTGCCAGATGCCACACGTTTTTGGGGTGCTGCATTCACATATTTTACCAAAGTACAAAGCTGTAATATGCCTTGGTACATTATTCATCAAAAGGGCTAGTCTAGCACAATCAGAGCTCTTCCAGACAACACAGAGAATTCCTTTCTCTTATTATCTGCAATACAATATATAATATTGTATACAATCTATGATACAATGGAGACTGACTTCTGGAAGGACAAACTCTCACCTTTTTTCTTTTCCAGACCCTGCTGCGTCCAAACATTCAGTAGCTGTTTCCTCTCCTTGAAGCCTCAGTGCAGGAGCAAATCTTTCAAGCACACAAGAGCCAAGCACATAATGCAGGGCTACATATGCAGTAAGACTCAACATCTGATTACATTTATGCAAATGCCTATATTTATTAGCATAACAGGAAGATTGTTCTACTGCCTGCAAAGAAATGAGCCCCTTTATTCAAATAGATGTGTCAGTTCTGAGCAGTTAATAAGATCTATTCGTAATCCATAGGTATGCACGATAAAATCAGGATATTTAGCACTTTAGCTGGCAGAGGAAGTGCTAGGAATATCGGTAGCATGTAACTCAGAGCAATCATTAAGAGAGATATTTAAGTACTCTTCAGGGTAATTCTTGACAGCGGAAGGGAACCCAAACACACTCCAAATCACATTCTAGTTTCAGCTGCCAACTCTTCGCTGTAGGAGCCAGCAGGATGGTGATGTCCCTGCATGGTGCTGTGCTCTAGTGCACCAGATGAGACCCACGAAGGTGAGGGGGAAGGGACAGCTTAGCAGAAGAGAAAGCACTGTCATCATTTGCTCCCCCAGCAAGAGTCCCGAGGACATGCTAAGGCTAAACATACCTGGCTTCTTACTTTCATTCCTTGAGGATTACAAACTTGGATACAAGTTTGGTTGGACACATCAGCTTCTGTTTGCACCTGCTTTCCCAAGTGAAGGCTTTTGGCATCTTTAACTTGGATCTTATCAACTTGAGAGGGGAATAGGCCAGGTTGCATTGAGACAATGAAATCTCACTCTGATTTACTTCGTGGTGGAAAGAGAGCTGGGCAGTCGTGTGTTGGCTTAGCACAGATCTTTCCAGTCGGTCCAAGGAGAAACCAGGACTACCAAATGCACAATACTTCACTGGCTCCCATTGTGCTTGGGAAAGTGTCTGGGATCCTGTGGTGGACACTAGAATTGCTGTTTTCATTTTTTCCCAATTATCTGTGAAATGATGTTTCCAACCTGCTAAAATGCCCACTTAGACTTCTGGGTAGCAAACATTTGCCCATCTGCCAAGAGGTTTTCCAGACGACATTTATCTAAATAGAGAAATCAGACTGCTATTCACATTTGATTAACAAACACAGACTCTAATTAGCCCATGTGATTAAGATTCATTTGAGAAGTCACTTCAACACATACATAAAACCATCACTCCTTTACTCCGTGATGATGATGGCGAGGAAGAGCGGTTCTGTCTCACTCCAACTATGCAGAGGAAAAGCAGAAATGTTCAAGAAGGGCACTGTAAGAGCAAAGGGTCAGGCCAGTGCCAGAGTAACTCCAGTGGTAATCAGAGTGATTCTCCCACCGAGCAATCTGTTGCAGCAGGTCCCTAACACAGCCAGGCTTGGCAGGAGAGAAATCACCATTTCTTAGCCCACCAGAGATATCTGCCTGGCTTCTCCTAAACTCCGCAACAGCACAACGGACAGGTCTTGTTACATATTCTTAGGGTCTAGATTTTAATTCCCTGGGAGACTACAGCTGAGATTCAGGATCTGGGTCTCCCTGCACAGAGATAGGAGCCGGGCTGTGAAATTTGCCATGTAGGGAAGAATCCCATTTTCAAAGCTGCTGGAGCTTTACTGTAAGAGAGTCTGCTTAAAGCAG